CCGTGGAGCCATTGTAGACTCCGGTGCAACCTCCCACTTCTGTCCTGACAGGTCGAAGTTCACGAACTTCATCCCTATCACCCCCCAGGCCGTATACACTGCGAACGGATCAGTTCTCAGCGCTACTGGAAGAGGAGACGTCAAACTAGATTTACCATTGGGGAAGAGCAAGACCAGTGTGACCCTGAAGGACGCACTATATGCCCCCTCCATGGCATTCACCCTCATTTCTACCAACCGCATCGCCTCTGCTGGATTAGCGGTCCTATTTGAAGGCAAGATGTGTCAAATCTTGTCCAAGGGACTGTCATATACCATATATCCGGTTACAGATCCGATGATCTGGATCTCAGATCCGATCCAGATCCGATGAACATATCCGTCGTCCGGTCCACAGATCCGCTTTGATTCTTATTTCATTTCCTGTTCATATAACTCTAACTATCGTTCATCTCCTTTCGGTATTCCTGTACACCGGTATACCGGTTATCCTTTACTTCCGCTTTGCTTACTGATCCGCTATGCTTACTGATCCGCTACACTTACGAATCCGCTTTTACTTGTACTTCATTCCCGGTTCATGATTCGTGATCCATCCAACTTACCAATACGCTCCACTTAGACTTTGCTTATACTTTCGTACATAGCCTCACACCTTTGCTTATTGATCATTCCGTTAGCTATCCGTAGTATATAAACCTTTGTATATGCGCTGTAGTAGATCAGTTCGAATATCATCTTAGATTGCACTCATTCCGTCTGGACTCTAAGTCCCTCCGTTATCCGTCCAGACTTGAGTACGCTACTCTTGTCTACTCCGAGACTTAGGATAGATTCCTATAGTCTACATATCCACCTCTGTCTTCGGACAGTCCTCACCCGTTAGTTTCTAGTCCGGATCCGATCTGGATTAGCCGTTACTCTATACGTTCGATATCCGGAAGTCTTAACGGATCCATTACAAGACTTATCCATTACGAGACTTATCCGTCTCACTAGACGCGATATTTTAGCTCTCTGAAATAAGGGGCAAGACTCGGGAAAGGGGCACAGCGCACGAGCTGAGGCCGAAGCCCTTCGGATCCGATACTACTTGAGTATGGTCTTAACAGGGACCCAAACGCGAAGTTATAGCCGAGATCCCGCAACTGGAAGGCCTATATAGCGTGGTCAATCAGAAAGAGCATCATGCCCATGTCGCCAGGACGAAGCTTACCTTGGCAGAGGTGCACCGTGCCCTTGGTCATGTGTCCCAGAGGGCGGTACTGCAACTCGCGAAGGATCAGCTTGTCAAGGGCCTGGATGTCGACCTCACCTCCCCTACCGAATTCTGCGAAGCCTGTGCTAAAGCGAAAGTGATCTGTCAACCCTTTCCACAAGAGTCGGCAACTTGAGCACTCACCTACACGGAACTTGTCCATACGGACTTGTGGGGCCCAGCGCAGACTACTAGCCTAGGAGGGACGACCTACTATATCAGTTTCACGGATGATTACACCCGTGAAATGAAGGTTGAGTTCCTGAAAACAAAAGGTGAGGCATTGGAGGCGTTTAAGAGGTATGAGGCGCACCTTAGCCGTCAGAATCCGGGAGTCAGACTCCGGAAGGTTTGGTCAGACCGTGGAGGGGAATACTTGAGCGCGGAATTCGATAAGTATCTGTTGGACCAGGGAATCGAGAGACAACTTACAGTCCATGATTCACCCCAGCAAAACGGGGTTGCCAAGCATCTCAATAGAACGCTGGTTGAGCTCACTAGAGCTATGCTCATTGGCCGCGATCTCCCCAAGTTCCTGTGGGCTGAAGCAATCAATTATGCTACATGGTTAAAGAACCGCCTACCATCAACCGCAATACCTGGTGCTACTCCTCATGAGCTTGTCCATAGGACGAAGCCCAACCTCTCCATGGCCCATGAATTCGGCTCCAGGGTGTATGTCCACCAGGCGAATGCTGGAAAACTCGAACCCTGCGCGGAGGAGGCTGTCTTCGTCGGTGTCGACACCGATAGCAAGGCATATAGGGTGTACTGGCCTGCGAAGAGACGTGTCTCGGTCGAGCGCAACGTGACCTTTGCGCCGCCGGATGTCCTCGTTGACCAGGATGTGCTGAACGAGGGGGAGTCAATAGCAATGGGTGAGAGGAAGACTAATAGCAACGCACCTAGCGTCCAGCCCATCCCGGCTACCCCAAATCCCACTCCCACTCCTCCAGAACCCACTCCCATTCCAGACGCCCCAGAACCTCGTGAGACCCGAGCCAGACCAGCAAAAGGCTATTATGCCCAGCTCCAGAATGGCCAGACGGCAGCTGTAAGCATCGAATCCCTGCAAAATGCGTCAGACTTGGACCTTCTAGACGAGGAAGCTCACATTCACCTAGCGTTAGCCGCAGCTGAGCCAGAGCCCACTTTGAAGCAGGCTCTGAATGGTCCGGATGGTCCAGAATGGCAAGAAGCGCTCGACTATGAGATCAGTCAGCTGGAGAAGTTAGGAACATGGGACATCGTCGACTTACCTCGTGGTGTAAATGTCATCCCCTGCCACTTCGTGCTAGCTACTAAGCGAGGCCCGGATGGCAAAAAGCTGAAGCTGAGAGCCCGTCTCGTCGCGAATGGACAGAGACAGCAATACGGCGTCGATTTCTTTGAGACGTTTGCTCCGACGGCGAATATGAGCACTATACGTGCCGTATTAAGCATGGCAGCCCAGAAGGACTGGGAGATCCACCAGGTAGACGTCAAAAGTGCTTACCTGTATGCAGACGTCCAGGAGGACATCTATATGAGAGCACCTCCCAGATATCTAAAGGATGATCAGCGAGGCAAGGTACTAAAACTAAGACGAAGCTTACCAGGCCTAAAGCAGGCAGGATTTGAATGGGCGGAGGAGCTGGCTGGAGCTTTTCAGAAGATGGGTTTTAGTCGGTCCCAGGTCGATCAGGCAGTCTATTTCAAACGTACCCCCCAGGAGCACATCGTCATCACCGTGTCAGTTGATGACATGGCCGTCACCGCCAACCACAAATCCCACATCCTCCAGTTCAAGTTGAACCTGCGCGAATTCTTCGAGATATCCGACCTGGGCGAGCTATCATGGTTATTAGGGCTAAAGGTAACTAGAGATCGAGTGGCACATACCATTACCCTCTCTCAAAAGGCCTATGTCGACACTATCGTTGAGCGTTTCCGATTGGGCGATGCAAAGAGTGTGCAAACACCCATGGAACCGGCCACCTCCCTATCCATAGATCAGTGTCCAGGCACGCATGCTGAGCTCCAAGCCATGCGTGATGTACCTTACCAGCGAGCCATTGGCTCATTGATGTATGCGGCCACGAGCACGCGTCCAGATATCGCCTTCATGGTCGCGACATTGTCGCAGTTCATGCGAAACCCCAGGAAAGCACACTGGGAGGCTAGTAAGCGAGCTCTTCGCTATCTAAAAGCCACTGACGACTTTGAGCTCACCTTGGGATCCACGGATGCCGGGATCGAAGCGTTCGTCGACGCAGATTGGGCTTCGCAGCCACACAGGCACTCCATGAGTGGGTACATAGTACTCCTCAATGGAGGCCCAGTGTCCTGGAGCGCGCAAAAACAGCCCATAATAGCCCTATCGACGGCAGAGGCTGAGTATATCGCCTTAACCAGTGTAGCGAGGGAGGTACTATACCTTCAATTACTCCTTGGCGAACTTTACGAGCCACCGATCCTCCCCACCCCCATATTCTGTGATAATCAAGCCGCTATAGCATTAGCATCCACCGGCAAGTTCCAATCACGCACCAAACACATCGACTTAAGGTATCATTTCGTTCGTTCTCATGTGAAGAACGGTACCTTCGAGCTCCTCTATTGTCCCATGGACGACAACGTCGCCGACACCTTCACCAAGGCATTGGCCCGCCCCCAGCTCCAAAAGCTGCGTACCCATATGGGACTGGCATGCGCTCGAGGGGGAGTGTTGAAGTCCGAGCGATCCAATGAGGGAGAGAGTGAGGAAGCCGAAGGATCCGGCTAGGTACGAGCAGGAGAAACAGGTCCGAGCGCGTGAGCCAAAGTGGCCAATAGGCTGCGCCCGAATGACGTCGGCCTGTGCCCTGCAATATACATATGTCAGAAATTTTCCCTCCTCGTTCCTTACTTACCTACTATAAAACTAAGCGCCCGTCAGACGCACACATCTCAGTTCAAGTTGAAACTGAGATGTAAGTACCTAAAAATCATGTATGTTAGCATTAGCTAACCAAAGCATAGCGTACCTTTCTGTTCTAGGTACTTTGCACGTTAATATACACAGAGTTCAAGTTGAAACTGAGATCGTACCTTTCTGTTCTAGCTCCCTCTCTCTCCGTTCGCTCGCCTGTCATCACGACAGACCTGCGCAGCTTTCTGCTTCATGAGCGGATCCCAGAGAGCTGGGAGTCACGCATTCGCCAACCTTATGGACTGACTCTGATGACATTCAACAAGACCATACTAGGAGTTGAGTTTGGTGTGTGCGAGCAGGATTGGGCAGAGGCCGCACAGGAGGCTGTAGAACGTCATACTGCTCCTACTTGAAACTCCCGAGTTGACTGACATTTCCATTGATGATGAGCCAGCTGTTGCATATAGTACTAAATCCCTTGTATCGCTTCGGGCTAACTACCTACCAGATTACGGTATCCATTATTCGGGTATACTTAACAAGAAATTTCACCAGTAGCTGTAGTATAGATGTATCAATTGTTGTAGTACAGCAAAAAGTCGGGTACAAAAATGCACTCACTCACCATGCGCTGAACAGCGTCAGATACATCATTCCCTACTAGGATTCACTGATACATCATCCGAGAGAGCCGATACATTCGATACATACATGACACTCAAGAGAGCTGATACATCACATTCACTGATACACGATACATTCGAGAGAGCCGATACATTGAAGAGAACAGATACATCAATAGATACATCGATGTATTGCTGCATAGTATGACGAACGAGTACAGAATAACTAATCTTCTGCAGCTAATGGTGGAGGGCCTTCAATGGTGAGTGTGCCATCTGTATCAGCCATGCCCAGCGTGCTATCGTCATCCAGCTCAGCAATTACGACCGCAGGGACAATGGCCCACTGTTGCTTGAATTTTTCCGACATGGCGTTACGGAGTGCAGATTGTCGGTTTGCGTATGCTGCGGATCCTTCGCTGTCTGCCGACCTCTCGAAATGACGCGCCAAAGCCAGTCCAGACCACCACGTACTCTGCCAGGCTAAGAATGACAGCACCCTCCGCATCTCTTCAAGCAACAACAGCAATTCTTCAGACCAGCGCGCCTCTCGTGCTCTTGCTTTGCACCACTCAATGCGAAGACCTGCCAGCCATCCGTCAACTTCACGGCGAATTCAAACAATATTGTAATACGTACAGTCTTGAAGTCCCTCGTCATTGTCTCGTAGCACCCCGGGTGTCTTCCATATCCACGGTATATCGCGAGTACCTTCAGATTGTCCCTGGATGAAGTCACCCATGGGTCTCATATCCATCACTCCGAGAGGGCGTAAGATATCGGTCCAGCCAACTTTTCCTAGCAAGGGAGCAAGGGCAATAAGTGCGTCCCGAGCGGCATCATATTTTGCCTTGCTGGCATGCTTCTTCTGAGCCGCGTGATCGAGAGCAGTGCACGCACGAGTGGAGGCACGTTGACCACGTATATTCGCCATCTTGAATGTGTTGAGGTGAGCGAATAAACGAATATGCTGTCGAACATCATTCAACGCGTCATGGGATTGGGCATACCGGAGTTCCCATTCACATTCACGAAGCTTTTGGTCACAAGGAAGGTGTGGGTCGAGCTGGGATGGTAACCAGAGCTGAAATTGCTCTGGTTTGAGTGCAGCGACACTTCCCGAACGATGAGTTTCCTCTGCGGCGCGGATCGGGGCAACTGCGGGCATATAAAGGACTTGGATTTGAGCCCAATTGTCCAGTCGACGTTGTAGTGCGTTGCTTTGATTGTATATTTTGGTCTTCTGTGTGTCAGTCGCATGCTGACCCAAAGCAGAAATGTCTGCGGCCAAACGCCGTCTATTTTTCCCTTCGTGAGAGGAGGTTCCCGGAAGATATTGCAATACTTACTGCTGATCTTGTAGGTCAATACCCGATGCAATGAGGACACTCGGAGAGATGTCGGCGTGTAACGAGACACCTACACCAGCCTGTAAGTCTGCAGCCTCCTTCTCGGCCAGCTGGCGGCGAAATAGCAGCTTGAGTCATAGCTGCTAAATGTCAGTTTCGGACAAATGAGTAGAGAAAACGACTTACGAATCACCCTGCTCTCGAACGGGTTGGGCTGTGTATTGTCCTCCTCCCATGACTCGATTTCTGACTTCCACACAGAGAGCGATGGTGCTGGAATCGATTGTTGAAGCTCGTTGAGCTCTTCTCGATGAAGCTTAGATCTCCTTGAGGCTTCTTTCACTTTGCGGAGTAGGCTTCGACCTTTAAATACATGAGATTCAAAATGAAATAGTCCAGTCAGGAACATACCGAGCATGGTGACTTTTTTCCAATTCCAGTCCGAAAAATGGTCGTCCAAAGTATCGCGGCGTGCTCCTGGGCCCATTTCTTTTGTACTCGACGCCACGCGATTAATATTTGCCCACCCTCTTTCAGGTGCTTCCCCATCCGTACGTCCAACGTTCTTTCCGAAGTTAAATGAGAATGCTGTTTGACATGACTGAACGTGCGCATTAAGATGAAACTTCGGAACAAAAAACGAACGAGCTTGTTTTCACGGTCGAGGCGCAGTCGGGGTGGCATTGACGCCATGCGAGGCCATAGTTTTTTGTTCCATTGGCAGGCGATGTCGTATGATAGATTGAATACTAGCACGGCGAAATTGACCATCACTGAAAAGACTAGATAGTCCATGTTTAGATATCTAGTGCTAGGCTTAGCTCCACGAGGCTTGAGAAATGATCAAAAAACACACCTTTCACCTTTTTGCAAATCGCCAACTCCGTTAGGAAGTTTCATATCATGCCTTGCGCAGTCCACGGTCCCGACGCCCGTGGCCGCAAGCCCCCTCGACGACTTAGTATCAGCCATATTGACGGCGTTATGACTCACGCAGGTACTTTTCTGTGATAAGAATGGAACATAGTAAGTGTAAGTGTGCGCAAACAGTGTAAAATTACTGTACCTCCTGTGGCTCACAACCACGCTCGTTCAGATACTGTTTGTACGCAGTCTCCTCGACAAAGTAGCATGACCCAGCGTTGAGACTCGGATCAACGCTGTCGCTCGAAACAAGCTTCCGTTTAAGTCGAAAATTCGCGTCGATAGCGAGAAAAAGAGCGTATTTCCATCTAAAGGATGTTATTAGTGAATAATGAAAAACAACTGTGCATCAAAACATACCTGATATCGTGCGGTGCATCCTCCCAGTCCTCAGGTAAGTTCTTTCCAGGGTGAGGGCATGCTGGACAAAGTATGGCGCATTCGCCAGCGGAAGTTGCGTCAACACCACTGGGATCATGACCTCTTCCTGCTCGCTTGAGTACCTTGAGGTGGCGCCATTGACGAACCATTTGCATAAATGCGGAATAACGATCCTAAACTAGCGATGAGGAGAAAATCAGCGAATATTAATGCAGACGTACCCTAATTGGTGTGGTGCTGGTGTTATCTGTCCGTCTAGCGATACTGTGGTAGAATTCGTATGCGGATACCTTTGATTCGAATGTGAGGAGGTGGAAGAACTCCATCAGTGCGAATGTGGTGGCAGTTTGAGGTTTCTTTGAAGTGGCTGGAAACCATCGAGCACGAATCAGCTGTTTGTAATGGATTTGGGCCGTTTCACAGCCGCAAAAGTCGAGGCCGATTTCATGGATTCCGTGTATGTCTACGACGACGAAATCATCGCCAGCAGCAGGCTCAGGGTTATAACACTTCTCCCCTGGATTGTGTCCGAGTTGGATGCGCAAGCCAAGCAGCTTGAGAGAGACACGCACAAAAAATGTGCCACACCACTCCTAAGGGCAGATGAGTTTCCAAGTCTAGCTCGAATTAATGCTCGATAAACATACCTCAACTCTATGGAGTGGATTATGTGCGTGCCGTTGAAGAACACATGCACGGCACACCATTTCGGCTCCAAAACAATCCCGGCAGCGGTAAAGTAAAGGGTCTTCCCCCTTGCAAGCGCATGTCTCTCGAGCTATCTCGTCACCACGGCCCTCTAGACGGACCATTTCATCTAGGTATGATGACCGTTCTTGTCTCCAATGAAGTAAGTGAACATTCTGTCAAATATTAGCTTGATAACCAAGGTATTTGAGTATACACACCTGTATTCTTTTTTTTGTCAGTGGTAGTCGTTTGGATTGAGTCCACAATCCCAAAGGATGGGTCATCGGGCTCGCTCGGCAGTGTCTCCTCCCAGGAATCGAGTGATGGTTCAGGACAGGATTGCACTGCGTCAGGTTGAGATACCACGAATGTTGTTGTTCGCAAGGACAAAGAACCGCCATCATTGACACCAAAAGAGCGATGCCGAAGATACTCCATGTTGTCATCATGCGAGTCTTCTATGTACTGACTCACTCGTGGTCTTTTGAATGGCCGTCCGAATCTGCGCTTCATTCTGCTGACCTAGTGTATTCCCGAATGTAACAGAGGATTTTTGCGAGCCGCAAACCCATTCACTGTTGAACTCGTTGCAGCCATGCCACGTGTGAACTTTACCTAAGGCCTCATGATCCGACATGCGATTTGTCAAAGTCAAAATACTGACGCATCTGCTGTATTGATATGCAATAAAATCAAGCTACATTACAACAACCGTTAACTTACTGCGTGAAGGCCACTCAAACACGAAGACGCTTCTGGTACATCAACTCGCCCATCGAGTGAGCAACACACAGCTCCGAAACTCCCTCTACGTCGAAGAAAAACTCGATATCCTCCAAGTATGCAAGGGTGGTACTGAGGTAACGAGTGACTGTGTCAGCAGCACGAAACTCAGCTGAGACACCGCAAAAAGTAAGGATTTGATCTTGAACAATGATGGAGCGGTTGAGCAAGCCTTGGACTGTGGCTGTCATATTGGTGACAATGGTTTTATCACCATTATCGGCACGGTCGTCTGTGTATGCGATGCTGTTGACAAATTGAAGTAAGACACCCTCAGCAAATGCACAGGGTTCAGTGATCAAAGACACCATTTCGTCTTTGATCACCTTGAGGGTGAGCAGACATCCTGTAAGATCCGATCTGCGGGATGTTAATTTTGTATTCATTTCATTTTCTATTTATAAAACAACGTACGGTGGGTCATCGTTCTCCTCAATGTCGCTGAAATTGCCTGTCTCCGGCTCATCACCATCTTCATCCGAGTCGTATCCATGCAGAGCTCTTGCAATGGCTTTCTCGAGCTCCGATGGCTGCCCCGTGTTCTTTTCAACACGAAACTCCCTTCGCCGTCTTAGGATTATATCTCTGTTTCTTCAATCGGTCGACCAGTCAGGAACCACCGGAGACAATTAACAAAAGCGGTTAGACTTACTTTGCATAATAGCGTCTGCGTTTATCACGACCTTCTTGCAGTTTAGCCTCAAGTACCTTATCAATAAGAGGACGCAGGCATGATTTTAGCTGCAGAGGTGTAACGGTGTGGTGGTGGTTGGTTGAAGAAGTTGAAAAGAAGCGGCGAGCACCATAGCTTCTTGAGTATGGCACGAAAGAGTGGAATCTCAGTAGTATTTCACAAGAATAACACCAAGGACCGCAATGATTCATGAACGAGTAGTAATTAGATAAAAATTCAGCTGCAAGGTTTCAAAGCTTTCTGCCACGCAAGACCATTATACTTGAGAAGATCGAAGTAAGTCTCTACACTATTGTCCATCAAAGACAAGGCTTCCTCCCATGTATCATAATCCAACTCAACCGCATCCACGGCAGCTGCAGCGCCTGAGCAAAGATAGTCTGAACAGGCCCCATCTGTATTCAAGCTATGAGAAAGCACTTCGCGAGCTTTGCAAAGAAGTTGTTGGGCGTCTGACACCATTCCCTCGCAGGATGGTCTTGTAGACGGCCAGCCCAGATTGTCAGCATCTTGAACGAGTGTCAAACTGCAGTGACTCAAGCACAGCGTATTGAGAAGGTCCGGGACGATAACCTAGGTCAAGCCATATGTTATCGAGCTGGTGCAAAAGTTGTTGTGTGACCTGGCCGATTGCATGGTATGTAAGTGTCATTGGGGCCCGAGGAAGTTTAATATAAGTCACGTACCACTGTAGCTCCAATGTGTTTACGCCAACGAGTTCGGGACTTCAAGCGTTCATCAAGCTTGTGCCTAGGACAAACAAGTATTTTGAGAATTAGATGTGCAGAATGATACAATTGACAGACCTTTCATAACATCTTCGCTTGGATAGTAACCGAGCCTCGCGGCGTTGTGCTTCGGTCTTGTACTTGGCTGGCATGAAGAAGTGTCGCTAACAGTCTGTTGATGCAAATGAATGAATGTTGAAAAGCGATAAAAGTTGAAGCTTCACGTGAGGTCACTCACTGTAACAGTTGGACTTAAATGGGACACTCGCTGTACCAGCACTTCGGGACAAATGAATGCAGGCAAGATCACATCTTTTTGAACTTTCTGCAGTTATCATGATCTTGATCAAACCTCCAGCGCTCGCGAAGACGAGCTGACATCTCCTCATCATCCTCGGGGATGATGGCATCCATGCGCCGTGCAAAGGCTTGCCGTCATCGCGTGAACGTGGAATCATCACCATGAATCCCGTAACGTTGAATGAAAGCATCACGACGATCGATCGCAGCGTTGCCTAGACGAGTTTGATGCAAATATCATTTTATAACTTATATACAATGACATAGTAAAGGAGATAGGGCAGGACTGATATCATGGGGTCAAGAACGGACAGCAAGAAAGTACAGATTATCTACACTCAGGCTTGATGGCAGGTTGCAGGAACTGCGTCTGTAGTAACAACGGCAACCTTGTAAGCAATGATATTCAGCATCGTACAAGGAACACTTCACTGCTGCTTTGAGGGGGATCAAGCGGGACATTGGCTGAATTCGAAGGTGCCTCTATGATCTCAGCATGGCAAGCATAACAGTTACGTCGATGCGTCCGCAAGGCACATGCCGGGCAGGCTCCTGGCATCAATTGCGGTGAGGGAAACTCTGCAGTGATGCCGTCATGGGCACGTTCAAAAATTTCTGTTGAAAGATTTGACATAATATCAAACCTGCACTAAACAACTCGAGATACTCACCATTCTGATCCCTGATTAGCTTTAGTGCCGCCACAAGCTCATTTATGGTGAATGTCAGCTCTTTGGGAGGCCTGTGGGGGGGATACGCTGAGGTAGAGTCACTCATCACAACCAAGTGGGGCGCTAGTGAGTGAGTACGCTAGTAAGTGAGTAGTACCTGTTATGAACACCTTAAATTCAACTCCGATCTAAAGAATGATTGGTTCCTCGGGGGCTAAGCGCTGAGCGCTGAACTTTAACTGTTTGAAATTCTGAAATTTTCGGCGTTAACTTAATCCTTAAAGCCGAGTTTTTCATACCAAAGGCTAAACGGCACATAGATAGGAAATTGACCACCTAAATATTGCAATGAATATAAATCATCGGGCTTCGATGGTCCGTGCACCACGCACCTCACTAGGTCCCACTTCCTCGTCAAATAAGCTTCTTTCTTTTTTTCATTTCGCTTGCCATCAATGCGCAAAGTACGATATCTCGGACAAAAAGTGCGTGTTAACGAGACATCCTTATGATTATTATGTCACTCACCATGAATAATAGATGGCACCGCCAAAGTGGGCTACCGTCGAGGAAGAGAAGTTCTTTCAGTCGCACGCTGCCAAATACCAAGTGTGTCAGGCAAAGCGCAACTATAGTGGATTTTGGGAGCCAGTGTTCGAGGAATGGTTTTCAAGATTCCCGGAACGGCTTCGTGTCTTTAAGGATGTCCCCCTTGATGTTGAATTGACCGTCGAGCAAAAGACCGAGGTAGGCAAGGCCGTTGAGCACCGTCGACAGGTACGTTACCGTGATTCATAAGTCGAAAGCAAGGGCTTACAAGAACGTTGACTTGTCAGCAAATTATGAATAAATTCAAAAACGATATGGGCTCATCTAAAGTCAACCGTCGGACCAAAAACCGCAACAATAGAATGATGACAGCAGATGTAGCCGCAGCAAGCACATCCCTGACACCGGCGGTAGCCAGTAAAAAGAGTATGGTCGCTCAGATAATCAGCAGTGCGAGGCATGTTCGTGGTCCGCAGGCGACGGAGGCGTTCTCGAAGCTTTTCTTCGATGACATGGTTAAACCTACTCTTAATCTCGCCATCGAGACAGCAAAGGCCGAAGCTGTGGCAAATGCTGCAGCTGAGAATAGAGAGGTCAAAATGCCATCAAAAATAGCCATTATCAGGAAGCAAACGAGCCTGCTGTATCACTCAGCGTCCTGATGAGGTCAAACAACAGGTGGCGGAATTCGTTGAAGAAGCCAAAAAGAAGAAGAAGAAAGAGTGGGAAGAGGCAAAGGGCGCAGGGGTAGCTGACCATCAAGTGTTAGTTGCGTCTACAATATCCAAGTGGATACAAGCACTCACCTGAAATTCGCATCTCCAGATATATTGATAAACTACCTGCTGTCCTCACTGAGTTCTTTGACGAGCTCCAGAGACTCACTGGTCTCGTTTTCACGGTTCTCATGGGTGGCCCAACACCAGCAATGGGCGGGCAGATTGATGTCCAGAGCTTTCATGTTGGTGCGACCGAAATTGGGAATCAGTTCGACCTCGCATATCCTGAGTTTAACTCAGGGATCATGCGACCATGGAAAGAGTTCGTTAAGCGTGTGTTTCGTAAGTCCGTGAAACCGAAACTCGGAATGTTTCTGACTTGGGGCTTGATAGCGGTGGCAACGGCGAAGGAAGAAGGAAGTGTTTGGGGTACGAGTCGACAGCCAACACTAGAGCCTGAGCCATGGAGAGAAAGCTCTGATGGACATGTATCACAGACACCTGATACATCTGATGGTGCCTTTGGGAAAATCCCACGTGATGCTTTAACAGTGGCGTCATCCTCGGATATATTATTTGAACCACTCACATCCTTTCTTGATGATGACGACCCCACTTTAAAGGCGCTCCCTACATATCCTTCGCATTCGACTTCTGCTTCCATGGACTTGAACCTTGACGGGCTGTCTGTGGAAGGATACCACGAATTCTTGAGAACGTACGTGGCTCCTCAGGAAATTCCAACACCGCTATATCCCATACATGGACCCACCCCTCCCACGCCAAAGCCACTTACACCTTCTCAGTCTGAGATACAAGGCACAGATCTCATGACAGAGGACAGTCCTGCTGGATCCCATCCGCCGCCTCTCTCCGAGCCTACCTCTGCAGAGGACCTGCCAAATGCTGCACCCACGATGACGGATCTCATCACAAAGGTCAATTCTGTTGATTCACATTTGCATCTGGCTTATTCACGTCCGCAGCCTCTCTCCGAGTCTACTTCCGTGGAGACTGCACCCACAGAGGACAATCCAGCTGATTCCCGTTCGCAACCGCCCTCTCTCTCCAAGTCTACCTCCGCATTGGCCGCACCCTTCGAGTCTACCTCCGCAGAGGCCGCACCCTTCGAATCTAACTCCACAGAGGCCGCACCCATCGAGTCTAACTCCACAGAGGCCGCACCCATCGAGTCTAACTCCACAGAGGCCGCACCCATCGAGTCTACCTCTGCAAAGGCTGTACCCTCAGGATGTACGTCCGTAGAGGCCGCACCATTGATTGACAGTCGTAGCAAACGAGTCCGGCAGATTTCCAAGCGCAATGAAATTGCGAACTCGATTGGGTCAGACACTACCGGCTCTAAAAAACGGGGGAGTTCTGGTGTTAACGGTGGATACAGGAAGTAAGTCGTACTCAGTGTTCTCACACCTTCGCATGCCTGATAACTCGTTCCCTTTGTGCAGGAAGCAAAAAAATGCCTAAGTCGACATATATTTCCTTTCACTTCCCTTTGATCGTACAATACTCTTGTGGTTTCTACCCTAGACTGTAATAATGTATCTATGAAATTTTGCAATCACGTTCACGCTCGAATATATTCTGCGTGTGGTCTCAAGAAAACACTTTGTATCCATGAGTATTAAGACTATTTAAAAAATAAACATAACGCTTGAAGGCAGAAACTGAGGATGGATACATAGCCCCAGTGACCAAAGCACAGATACATTGTCCAGTAGGTAAGGGAGCACCTTCTGACTTGAACGCAAAATCTTATGAAAGATACATTATCCTCCCGGTGACCAAAGCACAGATACATTATGATAGGTAAGGGACGAGCAAAGGGACATCAGATGTATCAATTCTCGTAGTACCCAGCCAGATACATCTCGAGAAGGATGGATACATAACCCTAGAGAAGCAGTCTATACAGTCATAGTAACAGATACATCTAATATACTGTAATGACTGAGAAAAAAGGGAGTTCAACCAGATACATCTCGAGAAGGATGGATACAAGCCCCGGAAGTGCCCGCGCTAGGAGGATCCACTAAACGGATACATCAGTATGATAGTCAAAAGGCGATGTATCAGATACATGACCTAAATGGGTAGAGAAGCGCAATGGAGGATCCCATTGATACATCCCTGCGATAGGTGAGAACACCAAGGTCGTTCACCCCATTTTTGTACCCGACTTTTCTCAGTCATTACAGTATATTAGATGTATCGTTATGACTGTATAGACTGGAAATTTTGGATTGACTCAGAGCAAGTGAGCCTTACAGCACGGAACAAGGGTAGCAGGTTCTTAGTACCCATATAGAGATATATCATGCGCTATCGCAACACAGTGGATCTGTACTACCAATGCGAGAGTACTTGCGTCAACGTTTCAAGGCGAGTTCAAGTTGCTGTTTCGTCTTGGACGCTTTCTAAGTGGAATTCGCAGCTGCGGCCCTCAAGGAGCGCAGCTGGTAGTTTCACTAAATCGCGAACCCTTTTCTACGCCGCCCCCGCCGCCGCCTTACTTCACAACATCACTGTCAGTCACTCCCAAACTACGACGCGTCAAACTTTGGCAGACATGATCAAGATCGCCATATTCTCTCCTCCAGCTACTACGATCGCTCCCACAAGACATATGATCACTTGCGAATGTGCGAGCTGAAGCGAGTGAATATTATCAGAC